CAATATTGATTTTTCTACTCATAAAAAGTCAGCTCAGTCTGATTGGATCACCTGATCAAATATTCCAGTCAATATTGATTTTGCCCAGCGCCTATCACCTAAAGTTGGGATAACATGAGCAGCAGATCAACTAGACAATAAAGACGGTCAGGCCCTTACAAATCCTATCCCATTCATTCAGACATTGTTAATATCGGATTTTATTTTGAGAAAATGCAGGAAAGCAGTCAAACGCTTGCAGTCTACGTACCCAGCTGTGTAGGGTCGCTCAGAGAATATACGAAGCAAAAACTTCGCCTCCTCGTTTGGCATAAAAGTGGAAGGCACGATAACATAGTCGCCAGGCATGAGTTTATGACGTCCACAGACCTCTCGTGTGTTGGCAAATATCGAGCGTGCGGACATTGGTGTACGAAGAAAGAATTCGCGTGTCAACAAGGCGTTCGCTGGTGCACCAGGTGGAAACTATAGGTTGAAGAAAAATAAAAAGCACGGATTAATATGAGTAGGTTTAGTTTGGCCGAACTCCACTAATTTTCAACATACGGGATAAATTGCGTAACCGATAGAGAACGGAGATTGGCGTTTTTCGCGCATCCCTTTCTGCATCAAACCGACGACGATGGTACCTGTTGGGTCGTTATCTGCTTCGTCAGCATCCACCACAGATACGCGGATCTGAGGATTCATATAGAAGGTGTCTAAAAGGCACGAGCAGTCAAATCTGCATTACTAAGCATGGTAAGCACCTGAAAGAATGGGTAACACCTCGCTATTTAAGTTAGCGTCAAAAAAAATGGTCTTAAAAACACACTTCTATTATTCAGACATCCGCCAGCGGTGGAATTTCTCAGCCACTCGCCCTCGTGCCTCGTCATTTCCCACTTTCGCTTCGGTGGAGCGCCCTTCGCAGTGTTCTCCATTTGGTCGAAGTCTGGACTCAAATGACACATTTCTAATCGACTGAAGTAATGCTTGAAGTCCTTGAAAGCCATCCTGCATAGAAACACACATTTCTTACCAATACTGACAAGCTCAACTATCAAAATGAATTGAGGCGGGATTAGAAAGTGGCTAACACATTTGGTGACAGGACGAGGGAATCCAACTGCTGCTAAAAGGATAAGGATGGTAATCGTTTAGGCACCAAGAGCCCCCTTATCTACTTTATCATTCCAAACAGAGTCCATACCCTCTTGATAAATTATTCAGTGGCGTTATGCATGTGGCGCGAAGTTACAAAATCACTAGGGTGAATCCTAAGCTTTAAGGAACTTTTAAACGCCTATAAGCCACTTTTGCATAAAAGAAGAAACCAGAACATCACTTACCAAAATTCACCGTCATTGTCAAAAGTCAGACCAATTTGC